ATCTATTTCACTCAATGTATTTCCTCGCGTTTACGAATTCGCATGACCAGTATGCGGACAAGCTATTCCTGACAAGCGGCCAACGAGGATCTGTCCTGGCTGCCTTTTTCTACGGATATTTTCTGACGGGGGTGAGTATGTGGGGAGTGTTGGTTGGTGTTGCAAAGGAGAACAGGGAAAAAAGGAAAATATTGTTGGATACAGACAGACAAATACCTGCGCGCACATATATACATTAACATGCATACACACACGCACGCGCACACACACACACACACACACACACACACACACACACACACACACACACACACACACACACACACACACACACACACACACACACATACACACATTTGAAATACCTCTACGGCATATCAGTTATCAAAAATATTACCAAGGAATACACACACATCCACACACACACACACATACACAATATACCACCAATAAAAACGACAAAATGATATATGATAAAATGAAATAGATTCATCATCAAAATCATCACCCCCCCCCCTTAAAAAAAAACAAAAACCAAAAAAATAATGACAAGATAATAAATAAACAAATAAAACTAATAATAATGACAAAAAAAAAAAAAATGATAAACGAATTCTGATAAAAAAAGCACACCCTTCCAACAGATCATCGGAGGACGACTTGCGGAAACCTACGGCACCAAAGTCGTCGTTGGAACCTCGGCCTTCTTAGGGAGTCTCCTCACCCTGCTGACCCCCGTGGCCGCGCGCACGCACTACATTGCCCTCATCGTGCTTCGGGTTGCCATGGGGTTGGCGCAGGTGGGTGGGGGAGGAGGGGGGGGGAGGAGGGAGGAGGGGGAGGAGGAGGTGGAGGGTAGGAGAGGGATGGAGGGAAAGGGGGAGGATGGAGGGAAGGGGGAGGGATGGAGGGAAGAGGGAGGGATGGAGGGAAAGGGGGAGGATGGAGGGAAAGGGGGAGGATGGAGGGAAGGAGGAGGGATGGAGGGAAGAGGGAGGGATGGAGGAAGGGGGAGGGATGGAGGGAAAGGGGGAGGATGGAGGGAAGGGGGAGGGATGGAGGAAGGGGGAGGGATGGAGGAAAGGGGGAGGGATGGAGGGAAGAGGAGGGATGAAGGGAAGGGGGAGGGATGGAGGAAGAGGGAGGGATGGAGGGTAAGGGAGAGGGATGGAGGGAAGAGGGAGGGATGGAGGGAAGAGGGAGGGATGGAGGGTAAGGGAGAGGGATGGAGGGAAGAGGGAGGGATGGAGGGTAAGGGAGAGGGATGGAGGGAAGAGGGAGGGATGGAGGGTAAGGGAGAGGGATGGAGGGAAGAGGGAGGGATGGAGGGTAAGGGAGAGGGATGGAGGGAAGAGGGAGGGATGGAGGGTAAGGGAGAGGGATGGAGGGAAGAGGGAGGGATGGAGGGAAAGGGGGAGGATGGAGGGAAGAGGGAGGGATGAAGGGAAGGGGGAGGATGGAGGGAAGAGGGAGGAATGGAGGGAAAGGGGGAGGGATGGAGGGTAAGGGAGAGGGATGGAGGGAAGAGGAGGGATGGAGGGAAAGGGGGAGGGATGGAGGGTAAGGGAGAGGGATGGAGGGAAAGGGGGAGGATGGAGGGAAAGGGGGAGGGATGGAGGGAAGAGGGAGGGATGGAGGGTAAGGGAGAGGGATGGAGGGAAGAGGGAGGGATGGAGGGAAGAGGGAGGGATGGAGGGTAAGGGAGAGGGATGGAGGGAAGAGGGAGGGATGGAGGAAGGGGGAGGGATGGAGGGAAGAGGGAGGGATGGAGGGTAAGGGAGAGGGATGGAGGGAAAGGGGGAGGATGGAGGGAAAGGGGGAGGATGGAGGGAAAGGGGGAGGGATGGAGGGTAAGGGAGAGGGATGGAGGGAAGAGGGAGGGATGGAGGAAAGGGGGAGGGATGGAGGGAAAGGGGGAGGATGGAGGGAAAGGGGGAGGATGGAGGGAAGGAGGAGGGATGGAGGGAAAGGGGGAGGATGGAGGGAAGAGGAGGGATGAAGGGAAGGGGGAGGATGGAGGGAAGGAGGAGGGATGGAGGGAAAGGGGGAGGATGGAGGGAAGGAGGAGGGATGGAGGGAAAGGGGGAGGGATGGAGGGAAGAGGGAGGGATGGAGGGAAGAGGGAGGGATGAAGGGAAGGGGGAGGGATGGAGGGAAGGGGGAGGGATGGAGGGAAGGGGGAGGGATGGAGGGAAAGGGGGAGGATGGAGGGAAGAGGGGAGGGATGGAGGGGAAAGGGGAGGGATGGAGGGGAAGGGGGAGGGATGGAGGGAAGGGAGAGGGATGGAGGGAAGGGGGAGGGATGGAGGGTAAGGGGGAGGGATGGAGGGAAAGGGGAGGGATGGAGGGAAAGGGAGAGGGATGGAGGGAAAGGGGGAGGGATGGAGGGAAGAGGGAGGGATGGAGGGAAAGGGGGAGGGATGGAGGGAAGGAGGAGGGATGAAGGGAAGGGGGAAGGATGGATGGAAAGAGGGAGGGATGGAGGGAAGGAGGAGGAATGAAGGGAAGGGGGAGGGATGGAGGGTAAGGGGGAGGGATGGAGGGTAAGGGAGAGGGATGGAGGGAAAGGGGGAGGGATGGAGGGAAGAGGGAGGGATGGAGGGAAGGGGGAGGGATAGAGGGAAGAGGGAGGAATGGAGGGGAAAGGGGAGGGATGGAGGGAAGGGGGAGGGATGGAGGGAAAGGGGGAGGGATGGAGGGAAAGGGGGAGGGATGGAGGGAAGGGGGAAGGATGGATGGAAAGAGGGAGGGATGGAGGGAAAGGGGAGGGATGGAGGGAAAGGGGGAGGGATGAGGGAAGGAGGGGAATGAAGGGAAGGTGGAGGGATGAAGGGAAGGGGGGAGGGATGGAGGGAAGGGGAGGGATGAAGGGAAGGGGGAGGGATGGAGGGAAGAGGGAGGGATGAAGGGAAGGGGGAGGGATGGAGGGAAGAGGGAGGGATGAAGGGAAGGGGGAGGGATGGAGGGAAGAGGGAGGGATGAAGGGAAAGGGGGAGGGATGGAGGGAAGAGGGAGGGATGGAGGGAAAGGGAGAGGGATGGAGGGAAAGGGGGAGGGATGGAGGGAAGAGGGAGGGATGAAGGGAAGGGGGAGGGATGGAGGGAAGAGGGAGGGATGGAGGGAAAGGGAGAGGGATGGAGGGAAGGGGGAGGGATGGAGGGAAAGGGGGAGGGATGGAGGGAAGAGGGAGGGATGGAGGGAAGGGGGAGGGATGAAAGGAAGGAGGAGGGAATGGAGGGAAAGGGGGAGGGATGGAGGAAAGGGGGAGGGATGGAGGGAAGAGGGAGGGATGGAGTCAAAGGGGGAGGGATGGAGGGAAGGAGGAGGGATGGAGGGAAGGAAGGAGGATTGGAGGGAAGATGGAGGAGTGGAGGGAAGGGGGAGGGATGGAGGGAAGAGGGAGGGATGGAGGGAAAGGGGGAGGGATGGAGGGAAGGAAGGAGGATTGGAGGGAAGATGGAGGGGTGGAGGGAAAGGGGGAGGGATGGAGGGAAGAGGGAGGGATGGAGGGAAAGGGGGAGGGATGGACGGAAGAGGGAGAATGGAAGGAAGGAGAAGGGAATGGAGGGAAGGGGAAGGGATAGAGGGAAGGGGAAGAGGTGGAAAGAAGAAAAGAATGGAAGGAGAACGGTAATTTTTTTTGAGTGGGTGGCTGTTTAATAAACCAGGTCGAGAGAATTCAAGGTTATTCCAGTCTCTTCAGTTCGTGCAAGTGATGACGTCATCTGCAGTGAAGGCTGCGGATACAGACGTAAAATATTTAATTAGCCTAAATACAATTATCATCGTCATTCAGGAGCACGTGCTGAAAATGGGAAATATAATTGCAGGAAGATAATAATTACAATAAAGATATTTATTATACTACTGGCTAAATCGTTTCAACCGGAGCCAGTTTTCGTGACGTCACATCCCAGGTGCGCAATAAACGACCAATTCTAATGCAGTCTGAACTTTGTATTATATTGGCCTTGAGTATACGTTCATGTGTGCGCATAAAGTATATTTCTGCCAATGTACTGTATTACTGTGTGTGTGTGTGTGTGTGTGTGTGTAAGTGTATGTGTGTGTATGTGTGTGTATGTGTATGTGTATGTGTATGTGTATGTGTATGTGTATGTGTATGTGTGTGTGTGTGTGTGTGTGTGTGTGTGTGTGTGTGTGTGCGTGCGTGCGTGCGTGTGTGTGTGCGTGCGTGAGTGCGTGCGTACGTACTTGTATGTGTATTCGTGAATGTATACGTCTCTGGGGGGATATGCATATAGATTTTCCATTTTGATTATTAAGGCAGATATTACAATCGTTTTTTTCCAAATAACTGAAAACGATGGAACGATAACGCTCATCATGTTGGTATCAATATTATCATTATATTTTGATGTTATCATTATTATTAACATTATCACTATCATAATTATTATTACTATACTATACTATATTCATCATGTTGGTATCAATATTATCATTATATTTTGATGTTATCATCATTATTATTATTATTACTATTATTATCATCCTTATCTTTATCATTATTTTTATCATTATTATTAACATTATCACAATCATAATTATTATTACTATACTATACTATATTCATCATGTTGGTATCAATATTATCATTATATTTTGATGTTATCATCATTATTATTATTATTATTACTATTATTATCATCCTTATCTTTATCATTATTTTTATCATTATTATTAACATTATCACAATCATAATTATTATTACTATACTATACTATATTCATCATGTTGGTATCAATATTATCATTATATTTTGATGTTATCATTATTATTAACATTATCACAATCATAATTATTATTACTATACTATACTATATTCATCATGTTGGTATCAATATTATCATTATATTTTGATGTTATCATCATTATTATTATTATTACTATTATTATCATCCTTATCTTTATCATTATTTTTATCATTATTATTATTATTACTATTATTATCATCCTTATCTTTATTATTATTATTA